TTACTTTCGTATCGAAAGTCGGAACAATAAAATCTCGGAAGTCTGACCTAATTTTGGTATGTCCAGGAAATCGCGACCCACCTTCGCAACCGACATGGAATCGTTATGTGCAGACTTTCGGGACTCGAATGCTCGGCTCGACTATGCAACTTGGGTTTGGATCCAATCGCGGCGCGACTTTCAAAATCTGGACATAAGTCTGGGACCTCGACTCATGAGGAGCATCTTTTATAAGGGACATTAAACATAGCAAAACCGCCATTTTGTGTCTAATTTTGTCTGCATGCCATTAGTTTTTTTCAACTAACTTGAGCTAAATATGCTTGAGCTGAATTTCCAGTGATGAGAAAGATTCCTTTTTTTTAGTTTAGTTGGTGTCCCAATTAATGTCAGTGCGCCATCCGCCCAAATTTTGAGCTCAAAAACGCTGTGAAGGAAGCATGAACATGATATAAACGGAAGTTGAGACAGAAAGAAGGAGGGAAGAAAGCCACGACATTGACAAAGTGAAAGAAGTCTGATTGCAATTAGAAGCTTAATCTACCATCAATGAAACAAGATATTTTGGTGGGTTCTGAAGAGAGGAATTTGGCTAACTTCGGATGCTTTTAATGCATGTAGCCTGCAGTCAGTGGCGTGCGCTGAAATTTTTTTTTAGGTCGAACAATTTCATATTTGGAGCCCTTCGAAATATTTTACGGACCCAATTTAGTCAAGCATTTTCTGCGCCGCAGGTAAGTTTTTTTTGAAACAACAGGTTAAGAAAGGCGTTTTTAGGCACATTTGGAAAATTTTGGCTACAAAATTCATTTTTTTTGGCTACAAAATTTCTTTTTTTTCCGGAGCGCGCTCCCCCTCAAAATTATTCAAAATGGCGCCAAAGGCGCCTTTAAAAAAGTTTTGAGGTTGGTTAAAAAATATAATCCGAAAAAAACTTTATTGACGAAGGCGTTTATAATGGTTTAATGTTTTACTGCCAAAAAAGCGATTTGAAAAATCTGCGATTCTTGCGAAACATACTGCTTTCAGTTTTTGTTAGAGTATGAAATGTTGCGATTACGTAATTTCAGATCTTATAATTTTGGGAAAGTTATTGCTTTAGATCATCAAGTTATTGGTTTTGATGAGTTTGGTTTTGATGCTTTAGATATAGATCTAGGAAACGTTTGTATGAACTAAATTTGAAAAGGTTTTTTTCGAGTAGGTTTATTTAAAGGTAGGGCTTAAAAATGGAACAACGTTACAAATAATATGACCTGGTCAAAATAAAGAATAACGCAATTGAAGTCAATCAGTTTTTGAAAGGTAATTTTTTTTGTACCATTGCGCTTTTTCTTGAAGATCCCATGCCGGAGCCTGTCAAAGTAGTTTTCCATTTCAAACAAACATTTGATTGGTCAATTTAGAATTATGTATTGGTAAGTTTTTATTTCGGCCAATCGATGTATAGAAAAAACAGATCTGTTATAAATTAAGTCAAAATTACGTCAAAATTACAGATGAAGAAAACCCAATTTATGTGATTAAATTTCACTCGATTTTTCAGCTGTAGTCCCTTTCGTCTAGTTTGAAATCAGCACCCGATCTTTTCATTTGTTCATACTCCATTCTGTCCTCGTGGTCTGCAGGACCCCACTGTTCAGAAGGCCGAAGAGTCACGCTCAGTTTCTACGAAAAAACGCAGAAACCACGGACCTTATTATGATTATAATAAGCAAACCCCGCACTGACAAAAATGGATTAGGATCGATTTTAGAGTGAAAAAAGTACGTTGATTAAATTTAAATTGATTTTAGTATGAAAAAAGTACGTTGATTAAATTTAGATCGATTTTATTGCATATTATTGAGATCAAAATTTATTTTTACCTGACCCTTTTCTGGTTTGTTACACAAAATTTTGCCCATAATCTGATTTACAATGGTTTTCTATGATTTTATTGCAAATTTTTGAGTTTAAAACCTGATTGATGTGGATCATTTTATTGAATTCTATAACATCTGGCATGAGTGTTTATGTTTAAAAAATCGAGAACAAAAAATTCCAACAATTTTTTTAAAGGGTATGTTTTTTCGCCGTGTTAGCAAAAAAATCGGTTTTAGCGTGTCGGAAAATCCATCGAAATCGATTTAAATTGATTTTTTTAACACTTGAATCGATTTAAAATTTTCAAAAAGATCGATTTAAATCGATTTAAAATCCATTTAAGTTCGTAAAATGTACATGGTTAATCGATTTAAAATCAATTTAAATCGATCGGAAACCATTTCTGTCAGTGCGGGACTCTTAAAGTTGACACAATTCAATTTATTTTCTTGCATTGGAATTTTATTTTAAAATTCGGTTGGTTTTACAACCTCAGGCCAATAAGACTTCTATCAATTTCAAAATTTCATCCAAACTTTCAACAACCAAGTTACTTATTATGGTCAACAAGAATAGCCGGTTGCTATTCATGATGCGCAAAATGTACCAATCAACCAAATCGCACATTCTGTCTTTTCCACACATACCTCAGAGAAAGAACTTCCTTCGACCGTGAACAATTCAACTAATGCGACAAGAGGGACCATGAGAATAGAGAGCAGAGACATGCCCCACCCCATTAGGTCAGCCCACAGTGGAAAGGGGGCTCCCTCGAAGAAGGCCGGAGAGTAGTTGTACCTGTTCACGAAATAGTACTACTTGTCCTCGAAGTCATGGAAATGGAAAAACTGCAACATCGAAAAATAAAGCAATCAAGTTGCTGAGGAAAACAATAGAGTTCAATCGAGAAAACAATCAAATTCTTCTGATTTCAGTGGCAATTCAACAGCACGAATGAGATGCTTGTGAAAAACCAATTCGAATAGCGAGTTATAGCTGGGTCTTACATAACAATTAAATCAGGTTAAAGCAACTTAAAGCAAGTAATGGCTTAACATGAGGCATTCATAACAAAATTTGAACAACACCTTCCAACTCCCCTCCTCTCCTACCTTTTTTGTAGTCATATCAATTTGTGCTACTTGCGCAGCAACGTTTTTGTATTTTTTGTGATTTCTCCTATGCTTCTCATAGAATGCTTAAAGATAGTGTCCTGCGCACTTATATTCACATATTAAATCTAAGGTGGGTTTTTAGAATCAACTCACATGTTGAACAAGAAAATGGCGCTCATGAGAACAGGGGTGATTCCCACCCAGCAGATTCGAATAAAGATTCCAGGTCGTGACCCTATCATCATTTGGATGTCAGCGGAGAATCTATTGATGCCTGAAAGATATGGTATAAAAAAAGTGACATCGCACATTTTTCAATTTTTTGAGCGTATATGGTTATAGTTAAAAGTAAGATTGAGCGTATATGGTTGTGGTAAAAAGTAAAAAGTAAGAAACAAAAAATTCAGATCATTACTCTGTATTATATGAAACAAAAACAATACTTGAACCATCAACTGAAGTTAACTTTCGATGCAGACAAGGGAAAAAACTGACTAACTTCAATTTTATATAGAAACTCAGAGAAGAACTGTGGATAAAACTATCAGATTATCGTTTCAACTTCACACACCTTTTTTCCAGAAAAAAATAGACAATTTTCCTAGACTATTTTCCAGAAAAAAAATTAAGGTTAAAAATGAAAAAGTATGTTTACATAATGTTCTGAATTGAAATCAGAAACATAATTCTTAAACTTTTACCACATGTTCTGACTTGAAATTATGTGTTTGCTCGGTTGATAAAATATCACCAAAAGCAAACATTACAGCATGTGTTGTTTCTTTCTGATTTTTTAACCAACAGATGGAATGTTGAAAATATCAAAATCTATGGTATATAAGCCAAGCGAAAATATACCAAACATCACTTTATCACTTCATCACTTAACCAAAATCTCAAATCTCACAAACACTCTCATACTGAGACCCCCAACCATCCTAATAACCAAAATCTCAAATCTCTATCTCGATAACTATCAATCCATACCCCAATGTCTCTTGATATAAAATTGATGTGTGTCCTCTATATTTGAAATAATATACCTATTTACGGAAAGTCTTAGAAACATTCAGAAAGACCCCTTGTTCTAACTAGCTGCGATTTGGTCGATCGCATAAGTTAAGTCAAGTTAGTTTGGAATAATTGATGCGACCAGTGAGGCACACAAGTTTCAAAAATTCACTCAATTTTCAAAATCTCAAAAAAATGAGATTATCAAAATTTCAAAAAGTTGAAAATTTCAAAAATTGAAATTATCAAAATTTCAAAAGGTTGAAAATTTAAAAATCTGAGATTATCAAAACTTCAAAAAGTTCAAATTTTCAAAAGTTGAAATTATCAAAATTTCAAAAGGTTAAAAATTTTAAAAAAAGTTGAAATTATCAAATTTCAAAAAAGTTGAAATTATCAAAAACTCAAAAATTGAAATAATCAAAATTTCAAAAAGCTGAAAATTTCAAAAGTTGAAAATATCAAATTTCAAAAAGTTGAAATTATCAAAAATTTAAAAGTTGAAATTATAAAAATTTCAGATTTTCAAACTTTCTAAAGTTGAAGTTATCAAATTTCAAAATTTCAAATTTTTAAATTGGATATCTCAACTTGAAAAAAGTAAGATGGCCGATCACCCAATCACCCATCCTAACTTGTCTTTTGTATCTTTCTCAGGAAATGATTCAGACCTAAACGCAAAAGCCTTTTGGACTGCAGTTGAGAATAAAATTGTATTCTCATTAGGGCAACGACCCACAGACGCTGGCGCTCAGCCTAACTATGATCACAGACAAAAAAGTTTGTTTGGATCTCTATTAACAGAAACAGCTCTTGAATGGTATACTGATGAAGTGACTAATGCTACTACTTGGGCTGAACTAAAAAATCTTTTCCTAAAAAGATTCACTGATGGTAGAGATCGATTCAAGCATCGGTTCAAGCATCGTCTTAAATTGCAAATTAAACCCCTCCCAACGGCCGTAGACACGTGCCAGTAAAAACAAATACGGCACAGTATAGTATATCAATTATAACTGAACAGTCGGCTTTGCTAAAACCTGTCTTAAACAAATAAATTTTATCAGAAACTGATCTATATAAACCAGCAAAAATGGGCCCAGAATCATTCTTTCAAAAACTTCTCAACCTCCAAAACCTTCCTCTGATACTTCTCAGCAATTGCAAAAATCAATAAATTTCAAAAATAATGTCTAAAATCACCGATCTCGAAGAAGGTGAAATAGTGGACCTTGATCAATCAACGGACCAAGTAATCGATGATTTGCTGAAAGTAAGTATAAATTATATTTTCCGCCGCCGTCTAAAACTAAAATTTTTTTTGTTTAGCTATATACACTCTTTTAATATTTCCCCAACAAATCTGCGCTTTTAACCCAGAGGACAATCTCTACGCTAATACAGCAAAAGATCTAAAAATTGCGCATTTTGATTGTCAACTAATGACATCGAATAAAATGTTCTCACTTAATAAAGTAGCTCCCTGCAAAATACAACCCGAAAATATTGAAACTACTCAACCGAGGTTACTCTTTACCAACGGCATTACAGTACAAAAAATAACGCGACAATGTGTCGTATAAAACACCAATCTATCCGATGGTTTTGTGATTCTTTCGATTCAAGCGGAATAGACGCTCGCCAAAATATAATCACAACTGATATACACATTTCCCCTGATACTTGTGAACACGCCGCCGAACGGGGATATGTTAACTTAGGATACTCAAAAAATATTCCTTTTCGCTTTGACGAAAAAATCGTCACAAATACAAATAAAGGCAAAGTTGATGGCGAATACCACAACGAATGCAGCGATCGTTCTTGGATCCATTTGGATACTTTCGAATCATACATGCAAAATATTTCCTTAACTGTCAATCTAAAAGATGGCACCGTTAATAACTGGCAAAACATTCCATTACCTTTTCCTGTATATGAAAACGGATGTGAAACAACATCACTCGACCCTTTTGCATATACTTGGAACGAGCCCGAAAACTGCATTTTTTCGGTTCTCAATAAATTCGAAGCAAAAATGATTCGAAATGAAGAAAATTATTATATTGTAAAAGACTCTTTTACTAAAATATCCAACCACCATACTCGAGGTAGAGACACTCAACAATTTATGCTAAAAATACTAAATAAACCACAATCTTTATGTGGACACCCAAAAATAGTCTACCCGACCCAATACGAATCATTGTTCATAGCATACCAAAACGGTTTTAATATGGATACTGGTTTACAAATAAACCCGAGTGCTAATACAGGAATTATTCATTCGGAACCAAATTTGACTTACGTAAAATACGCAAAAAATGAAAATTATCCCTTTGCACCGGGACAAATAGACTACGAAGCTCATCTAGGAACAAAACTAGATTATATTCTTTTTCGAAGCTTTTACATGCTTCGAACTGCCGAATTGGCACCGTTAACGAAACAATGTGAGTTAGAACGCTCCATGATTCTCAATACTTTAATGCTCTTTATCGAAAGCCCGCGTTTAGCCGGCTATATTTTGACCCGAAATAGGTCTATGTTTTTAGAGACCAATGGCAATGTTGCCTGGCTCTACCACTGCCCAAAATTTTATTCTCCATTACAATTAATGGATGTATGCTATAATCGGATACCAATTATGTATCGCGAAAAAATTCATTTCGTCGACCCAATCACTCGACAAACTTTTAACTCGGCAGATCAACAAGACTGCTCCGATAAGCATTTAAATCTTTATCAACTAGATGTTGATAACGATAATTCTTGGATCGAACTCACACCCTCTATTACTAGAGTAAAAGGTCCAGATCTTTTTAAGCCGAAAGAAATTAAACGGCAAGTAAAACACTCTCTTGCATCTAGTCATGATGCTTCTATTTACACTTATGCACAAATGCAAAAATTTTGGAGCATGATTACTGATCACTCTGAAATGAAGGGTATTTTACAAAAAGTATCCCAAACTTTTCTTAATGCAAGAAAACACTTCTATCCGGACTCGAGTAGTCAATACGGATCTACGCAAAACATATACTTAGATTATCTTATCTCGCCTGATTTTTGGAAGAACGAGTACACTCGTGTTTTTGGTACAATACAGTACTATTTAGAAAGATGCGGAATAATATTCGCCTCTTTCCTTTTCGTCAAGTTTATACTCGACGCTCTTGTATTTGTAATAAAAGTATTACACATACACAAACTAACCGGCCGAACTCTTCATTTCGGAAAAATTATGTTAGCCGCATCTTACAATATACTTTTCACTTCTATAGTGACTTCAATATTCGCTCAAAATGAGAACGATCAAAATATTGAGCTTTATCATATGCCTCAGGCACCTCAACAAGAGGATTCTGAAAACGAAAATCAGGATAAAATTTATCCTAGACTCCAACTAGTTGATTACAATAATCGACCCGCTGTACCGGTCTAATTTATTCTATGTTTTAGGATATGCCCACTGATCTTCTTCACACTCCACTTGAAGAAGACTTGCTCGATTTCGAAAACCTTCTGTCTCTAAATGACCCTATGGAAATGCCATTCAAAATAATCAACCCGATTAATCAACCAAAATTGAATACCAATTTTAAAATTCCTAAAGTGAAAACTTCTAATTGCATTCAAAAGAGAAAAGCAATTGTCCGACCTTTCAAAATTCTCCCCTCTTCTTCAACTAGGCAAAACCTAGAATCTGAAACTGTAATAGTTCACCAATCCGCAAACTCTCTAGAACTTGAATCAAAAATCGCGATTCAAGTCAAAAAGGAACAAAACCTCAGCCCCAGGAAACCACCAGATTTTGACACCAGTCTAAATTATGCACTCTCTCCCTTTATTAACCGCTTTAAGATAGACACCTATCACCCTTACCAAAACGGTAACGGTGCATACCGTCTGGTTAATCCACAACTCCCCCATCAACATATTTGTGTTCCTGCAGCCTTTATAACTGCCCAAATGCAGACTCCAATCCTTGACTCCTACACGGATCAAGTGCAAAAGAATTACATAAACGACTTGACTCGCATCAACCAAATGCAGAAAACCATAACAGTGCTCCCGGAAAAAAATAAAGATCTCAGCAATAAATATCTGAGCCTAAAAACCCAGGTGGAAGGAAACTATTAGTTTCAAGACTATCTATTAACCTCCGTTCTTTTTATTTTTTAACTCCAACTGTGATTTGGCCGCCGCCACTTTACAAAGTATGTATGCTTCTACAATTATATTCCAGTATTGCTGATAAGTATATTCGCTAAACCAAATTTGAAAAATTGTATTTGATGTTATATTTCTCAAAAGTATCCAGCTGTGATTTGGCCGCCGCCACTGTTCTACTCTTCATGCACATACACTACAAGCAGCCATTCTTCAACCGACTACAAGCAGCTATTCTTCAACCGACTACAAACAGCCATCCATCAACCGACTACACTACAAAGCCGCCACTTTACGAACAAACTATCAAAATCAGAATAAAAATTTTACGTAAATTTTATTAAAACTCTTTGATGTTTTGTAAATTATATTATGCTTTTAAATTTTTTGTCAACGGGTATCACCGTTTAACAATCACCCTATAAGATGCTTGGATGTTCTGAATTGAAATCAGAAACATAATTCTTAAACTTTTACCATATGTTCTGACTTGAAATCAGAAACATAATTCTTAAACTTTTACCACATGTTCTGACTTGAAATTATGTGTTTGCTCGGTTGATAAAATATCACCAAAAGCAAACATTACAGCATGTGTTGTTTCTTTCTGATTTTTTAACCAACAGATGGAATGTTGAAAATATCAAAATCTATGGTATATAAGCCAAGCGAAAATATACCAAACATCACTTTATCACTTCATCACTTAACCAAAATCTCAAATCTCACAAACACTCTCATACTGAGACCCCCAACCATCCTAATAACCAAAATCTCAAATCTCTATCTCAATAACTATCAATCCATACCCCAAAGTCTCTTGATATAAAATTGATGTGTGTCCTCTATATTTGAAATAATATACCTATTTACAAGTGAAAGAAACTTTGTCTGTTGAATAAGAATAGGAAAGTCTTAGCAACATTCAGAAAGACCCCTTGTTCTAACTAGCTGCGGTTTGGTCGATCGCATAAGTTAAGTCAAGTTAGTTTGGAATAATAACACCATTAACAACGCAGCAAATAAGAAACATAGACTGTGACAAATCTATCTCAATCAAAACACATCCAGAAACCATGAAAGATAGAGTGAGCAGCAAAAAAGTTAAGCATCTGATACACAACAAGAAAATATCACTCAATCAACAAAAATTTAACATGGAGGCTAAAATTAATTGCAGGTAATTTTTCAAACTTGTCAGTGACGTAACAGGTTGAAGTAAACCAAAAACAATGACGAAGATTTTGATCAAACAGACGTCGAAGGTATCAGTAATTATTTTTCAACCGTTGGAGAAAAATTAGCAAAAGAGATCAAAAAGCGGCATAGCTAAGAAGCGGCAACAGAATTTAGAGCATTTAGTTTTAAGGCCGGTTGAAATGGCTGAAATTCTTGAGATTTTACGAAACTTAAAATCAAAATATAAAAAAAGATGGTTTCAATTTGAATTAGCTTCTATTAAAGTTAATAGTTAAAGAAATTGCGCCAGTGCTGAAAGAACTATTCCAATAGTGATTTAAATAAGGCTATTTCCCAGCGCGCTTAAAAACTGCTAATCATTCCGTTTCATGAGGTGGGATCTGAACGTAAGCCAGAAAACTACAGACCAATTTCCTTTTTTCTCGATCTGAGTAAAGTTTTTGAAAAACTAATTTACAATCGAACAAACGAATTTTTTAAGAATCAGAAAGTTCTACAGAATACACAATTTGGCTTCAGACAAGATCAAAGTTCAATTGATATGGTAGTATCACTATGTCGAAACAATCCGTCTTGAGTGAGACAATAAAAAAATCAACACATTGTACTTTTCTTGCTCTTAAAACGATTTTCGACACGGTTGATCATAAACAATTTCTAGAAAATAAGACGCAGATTACGTATCTTAGTAAACGTAAATCATCACTGAAAAAAACTTGTTATGGAGTGCCGCAGAGCTCAGATTTAGGTCCAATTTTTTTCATTATCTTTATAAATGATTCATCATCAGGTCAACAAACTACTCATACTTTTCTTTATGCTGACGACACTGCAATTTTGACTTCAGAATTGAATGGTTCATTAGCTCAAGAGCATCAAACACCGCTAAACGAAACTGAACAATGACTGGAAAAAACCATCTCAGCCTCAATACTGATAAAAATCAAGAAATTTAAAAAAAAATAAAACAGAAAGTTGTTATCGATGCGCGAATGAATCAAGATGATATTTTAAAAAGCAAATCCTTTAAGTTTTTTGGACTAACAAAATAAGTTAACTCGAGAATTAATAATCACGTTTCTATTCTCAGGAAAAAAACTAAACCCCTTTTGCGGTTCAATCTTTCAAAAAAGAAAAATCTTGATCAAGAAAAAGCTGATACGTGTATACAAAGCGTTTGTGCGACCTATTATTCAAAATGGAGTTTTAGTATATGGTATATCAAAGGAAAGTGTTATAAAACATTTGGATAATGATCTCAAAAGATTATGCAGAATTTTTTTCTTGAAGCGTAGATTCGACACAATAAAACTAGCACGGGACAAAACACAAAAAAGGATACATCTACTGAACTTCACATTCATGAAAATTTTTAAACAATAAATAAAACAATCCAAAAAAACTGCTCAGTAGACTCTTTACGCAACCTTGTATCTGATGAAGAGTTAAGTAAAATATCAAAACAAAGAAAAAACTCAAAAAATAATGTGCATATAATGTTAAGAAAAATGCTCAGTTGTATCTCTAACTATGGATTAAAGTTGGATGAATTTACTTAAAAAAATCTAACATAGCCACAAACAGAAAAACACTTTTTCCTAGATAAGTTTTAACAATGATGAAGATCTATTGAACATAATAAACAGCTAGGAAAATTATAATAACTTCTCAACAGGTTAATTTTAATGTTTCCCCCTTTTTTATTCTTCTTTTTAGAAAGCTCGTACCTGTTTGATTTTTTGCGTTCGGGTCGATACCGATGAAAATCGGAGTTAGCTTATTAGGAAAACAGTTTAAGTTTTCCGCTCAGAGAAGTCTGAAAATTGACCAGAAGGTCTACTGACTATCTCTCAGGCTAATGTTTAATGGTTGTAAATGCGATTTATAACAAGCAGTACTGGTACAATAGCATGAAAACGATGTATTATTGCTGAGATTAAAACACTCAAATTTGAGAAAAATTTTTTCTAAATCCTATCAATCGATTGGGAAAAAGCATCAAATAAAATTGAAAACAAAACAAGCATGGCCAGTTCCGACGACAAAAAAAATGAATACTTTTTTTTGCAAATGGTTTTTTTTTTGGCTATTAGAGTATCTGAACGAAAGCCTACAAAAGGAGTGCTTTCGATCGGGGCGATTCTAGGATTTTCTCGAGGGGGGGGCGGATTTTTAAAAAAAAATAAAAATTTTGTCGACCTTTTTTTAGGTCGACCAAATTGATTTTCTGAGCTCCCTTAAAGCACCAAAAAGTCCTGTTTTTGCTTTTTTCTCTGCGCCGCAGACAAATTATTGCACAAAAACAGGCCCAGAAGGCGTTTTTACGCACTTTTTGGAAATTTATGACCAAAAATCGCGTTTTTTTGGCGCGCAGTCCCCACTCAAAACTAGTATATATTGGCGCCCAAGGCGCCTTTAAAAAACTTTTAGGGTCGGTAAGCCAAAAATAAATATGTCAAAATAGAATAAAGGGGGTACCCTTTGGGTCGGCAGGGGGTCGAATCCTTCAGGGGCGCCCCCCCCCCCCCCCTAAATCCGCTACTGCTTTCGATATTCAGAGTACGATATGCAGACAGTTATACAACAGTTATTATCAAAAAAATAACCGACAAGCAAAAATATCAAGGATAGTCGGTGATTGTGCAAGTAGCACATAATGATCCGACCATAACCTTGAAAAAGTACATGAAACGTTTTTTCCAGACTTTTTTCAAATTAGTTTTGTTTTCAGCAAGTCGTCTGAAGGATCTGACGATAACCGAGAATTTGTGCATGAGTAATATAAGCAAGTCGGTTTATTTGCAAAATTCATTTTCTTTAATTGATATTAACTTTGAACCAAAAACATCAGTCATCTAATAAAAAAAGAATCCTATTAATTTCAAATTACTTCATTATTGAAAAATTTTCTGGATTTCTGAAATGTTTTTATCTATCTGTCTGTATATTAGTTCAAGCCTGGTGTTACAGATATTGACCAGTTCGTAATTTTCCGATACTAACCGTAAACATATGCGACACAGCCAGTTTCGAGGAGTGACATGATCATGAGGGGCAAACCACAGCTGTAGTTGTCGAAGATAATGAACTAGTAGATTCCCGACTGACAACACATGAATCAACTGAGAATACATACTGCAAATTTTGAAAATCTTAGATCAAATATATTTCCATTAAAATATTAATTCTAATAGTAATTATTTAATTGAAAGTAATATGATTATAATAAAGGAGGTTTTTTATACAAAAAGGCTTCAAAAAGTTTCACCGCTGAAGCCAAATTTTAATCAAACATTCATCTACTCTCGGCAGTTTTCTAAAGGTTGAAAAGTTTTGTATTTCTATTTTATGAAGGCATTTTGATTTTTCCAGCTCCTCTGAAGCACAATAATATTTTTGAAAGATCAGACCTACCTTGTCTTTTTGGCGCGCGCTGCCCTCTCAAAATTAGTGTATATGAGCAGCAAAGGCGTCTTTCGAAAAACTTAAGACAACCAAATGATATAGCAGAAAAATTCCAAATCTTTTTGAAAAATTGGGTATCTAAAATTGAGGAAGAGGTAATTTAATCTGTTTATAAATGAAAACATTTTATAAAGCAATGTTAACCTGTGTGACCATAGGGAGTGCTATTATGAACATGGCTAGACTGATTCCTGCCACCACCAGTGGTCTGTATGCTCTGCTGCGGGGAAAGTAGTCGAATACTGCCGTTGTCACACCCTCCATCTGGGCAAACTGAAAACACGAGAGCTATTTCAACTTCAAGGTTAGGTTGTTGTTGATTTGATGAGATCTCATCATGAAGATGGGACTTTCTTAGAGACATTTGTCACACATATTAACCTCTTATAATAAAACAAATTCTTTTTTTTTCAATAATTTCATCAACTCTGGCCCAAGCTTGATTTAAAAAATCTTTATTTAATGGGAGATTTGTATTACAGCAAAACTCTCCAACTTGTTGCAAGCTTTGTTTTTGAAGCAACGGCTCAGTTTAAAGTTTACAGCACCTGACTTGATATAATTAAAGAAGTAGCTCATTTTGCGAAGCATACCTGACTGTCGAGACCCAAAGAAAGAAACATCAGGAAAAACAGCGCCGACCAAAGAGATGATCCAGGCAGTCGAACCAGTGCCTCCGGAAACACTACGAAAGCCAACCCAGCACCTTCGCTTGCGACATCGTCAACCCGATGACCAGTCTCTCGGGCCATAAACCCAATGACCGCGAACACCACGAAACCACCGAGAACACTCGTAAAACAGTTTATAGAACAGACAATCCAAGCATCACGCGCCACGTTGTTTCGGAATTTATTGTAACTCGCCATTGTCATAAGACTTCCAAAAGCGAGACCAAGAGAGAAGAATATCTGCTGAGCAGCATCTGCCCAGACAGAAGGCTCTAGAAGTTTATCCCATTGAGGAGTTAGGTAGTACCTTATACCATCAGAAGCGCCATCGAGGAGTAACGCCTGTACTAGCAAAGCCAAAAGAAGCACGTAAGGTAGTGTAGATGTCCCCCAAACAACTTTTCCAGAACTCTTGATACCCTTCAACATGCAAAGGTTCACAAGAATCCAGGCGACTGCCAGACAAATCACCAAGTGCCACTGGAAGCCTCCGAACTCCAAAATATCGTTGGTCTGGCCCAAGACGTGGTGTTTCCAGAACTCTTGGCTCGCTTGAACCCATTTGACGTCCTTGATTTCTGATTGATTGATGACTTGTTTAGCAGAGCCCATTATGCAGTCGTAGCCAATCATAACACCTCCTTTCATCTGGCAATCGATTTTGTTGTTAGAGCAGTACTTTGTGTTCCACTCGTTGTCACAGGTAGCCCATGGCAGATTTTTGGTAAGCGAGCTATGGTGGGAATTAGATTACAAAAATATGTCCAGTCCGTTATAAAAGCATGTGAAACAAAAATAGATTATAGGCTTAACAGGTTTTAATCCATTTAGCCATGATAATAAGTGCACTGAAAACTAAAAAATGCTGAGCTAAAAAAGACCAAATTTTCCTTGACAAAACGCATCTGAACGCCTGAATTATAGCAAAAAACTTAGTTTTTTAACAGGACGTTTTTTTGAAAAAGACCTTTATTGTAATCTAACTCCCTGTAAAAGTAATAAAGAATCCATGCTATTATGACATTGTAGTAAATAGACACTAGGGCGCATATGATGACCATGCCGAAACCGATGCCCTTGAAGAGGGGTGCTAGTTCGAATGCACCCAATGGACCCCTGCTGGTGAACTGACCCAGAGATACTTCCAGATAGAGCAGAGGGAGTCCGGCCAGAAAGAGACAGGAGAAGTAGGGAATGAGAAAGGCACCTGAAGTTCAAATGGAGACCAGGGTAATAAATTTAATCGATTACCAAAAAATTCGACGTCGAATCATTAATGATGCGTGTATATCATGACATTTCAAGAGTAAGTTTCATGTAGATTAAATTGTTACATAACGCTGGGGCGCATCTAAAATTTTTCGACATTACGAGGCCAAAATGTGTATTTCGTGAATGGTAAGCGGAATCCGCAACAGGCCAAACTCAGATTAGTCGCGGAATCCGCAACATTGCTACTTTTCTTTGATCTTCTTTGCTGTTTTGGATTCCACAAACAAATAGCTAAAACACTGTACCGCTCAAAATCGCTTCAAAAAAGAGTTTTTAGAATTGATTTAGCCGCTGTATTCTAAATCATTTTGAAGACCCCATTTTGCCAAAGTATTATGTAACGCAGGTAAGTTCTTGAAAAACGTTTTACGTCACTTTCGGAAGTTTTTAACGATAAACAGTTTTTATTCCGCGCCTCTCTGCTCAAAATAAGTGTATTTTAATAGTACTTACTTTTTGCGAATCTCAGTGGATCGTTCAAAATATGTGTACCTTTTTTTTACCAAATTTTCACTGTTTTCACCAAATTTTCTGCACCGCAGGCGAAGTTTTGCAAAAGGAATTTTAGGCACGTTTGAAAAATGTTGACCAAAAAAGGAGTTTCAGTTTGAAGCCATGTGCGAGGAATGTTCTAAAAAAATGAATGGATTAATTAATAAGATATGATTAGATATGGTTCTATTAAGGCGTTCGAGCGTGCCTTATAATTATTTTTTATTTTTTCAGTGCAGAAATTGTGAAATAAAAGCTGGAGAAATATACCTCCTCCATTTCTGTAGCACTTGTACGGGAACCTCCACAAGTTACCCAAACCGACACAATATCCAATGAGAGAGAACACAAAGTCAAGCTGATGTTGCCACTTGTCCCTCTTCTTCACACCACTCCCTTCCCCATTCACGATAGAAAGGTCACCAGAGGTCATATTTGATTGAATCTTCAAAATTGATTTATTTTGTGCCAGATAGCTCAACTTTTTAAACCTTAAACCTAGAACGGCACTGAATTACAAAAAAATGTGTATCGCCGGTAAAGCTTTGAGAAATGTTTTCCGAGTACTTTCAGGAAGATTTAGATTAAAAAAATTCATTTAACTCATCAGATTTGGGTGCAAGCATAATTATTTGCCAGTTTCAGTATTAAAAGTTGATCCATTTCGCCTCTTTCGAGAGATAAAGTGAGCTGAAAGGGAGTGATTTAACTGAAGTTTAACGAAAACAGAGAAATATCAGAGTCAGTGTATAACTATAAACACAGTAAAACTATAGATACAGAAATTGTGATGATTTGTATCGTTATAATCTATCGAGGGATCTGCTATATGTGAGATTAAAGTCTTTCTTAAACTATCAAAGTGACAAAAATCTAAATACAGTCAGAACTCTATAATTGACAGAGGGTTACTGAATGCTTAAACTTATGAGATCCGACAAAACAGTTAGTTACTTCTACCCGGGGCGAGGTGCTTGATTAATACTTCGACTCTGACACGCAAATTTGGTCAGGCAGTTTTTTGAGAGATAAGAAGCTGCCGTTTTGCGACTCCAAAAATTGCGGTCAAGAATTTTGGTTGCAAACGTAGGTTCCCGCATTTAGGCAAAATGAAAAAAAAACTATTATAATGGATTTTCGTGGTCTTACATATTGTCAATATAATCGATTCCCATATTACGCTCAGACAACAAGGTTGGACTAAAAACGGATTTAAATCAATTTTTTTCCGCAAAACCATAATTCATTATAATTCATTTGAAATCCATTATAATAGAATATGTGATAAGAAGAAAATCACATAAAATGGATTTTTTCCATTCTATTTTTGTTTCGCGTCGTGTAAAATTCTGCAAGATTTTCTGCATTTTTTAAACGGGTAATGCGAAAAGTTTGTAAAGCGAGTGTTTCATTTCTAAACCTGAACTTTTTCAAATTGCAAAACAATTCCGTTGACCTCTACACCCCCCCCCCCCCCCCCCCCCAACGTTTGCCACTTTGCCACCTTGCAACCTCGCCTGACCACTTGAACCATTCCCCCTGAACCACATCCGCACCTTTACCACCCCTCCACCTGAAGTAGCAACCCCCACTTTAACCAATTCCCTCTTACTTGAATCAACCTCCTGTCCCGCGCCAGAACCAACCCGGGTGGGGGAGGGATTTGGATCTGGCGGCGGGGGGGGGGGGGGGGGCTGGTTCAGGTGGGGAAGTGGAACAAAGTTGAGAACTTGAGGAACCACCACCTGATCCACCTAAATTATCCACCCCACACACATCGTGAACCAATCCCCTCCCCCACCCGAGATTGGTCTGGGGTCTGGTCACAGGGGGAGGGGGGTTGGTTCAGGTAGGGGGGCTGGTTCAGGTGTGGGATTGTTCACCTCGAAGGGGGGGGGGGGGGGGGTGGGGGGGTTTGGTTCCGATGGAGGGGGTGTGAATTGGTTCAATTGGTGGGAAGGGGTGTTGTCAAGTAGGGGGAGTATTGGTTAAGTCAAAGTAACAGTAACAATAAAAAAATCAAAAAACGCAGAAAAAAGATTAAATTGAACAAAAAATTACCAAATTTAGTTAGAAACGTAGAAAACATTTTATGAGCATTGAAATTCCCGTCTCAACAAAGTGGAAAGAAATATGATTCTAGTGAAGTTTTTTTGTTTTTGTACATAAAAATGAAAAATAATCGATTGTAACTGATTTGCAATGGATTTTAATGCTTTATTAAAAATTTGCAAAATAATCCATTTTTAATTGATTTTAATTGATTATTTTTCACTTTTATAGACGCTGACAAAAGAATCAAAGTTCAATAGATTTTTGCTTATGGTCGACCAAATTGATTTTCTGAGCTCCCTTAAAGCACCAAAAAGTCCTGTTTTTGCTTTTTTTTTCTGCGCCGCAGACAAATTATTGCACAAAAACAGGCCCAGAAGGCGTTTTTACGCACTTTTTGGAAATTTATGACCAAAAATCGCGTTTTTTTTGGCGCGCGTTCCCCACTCAAAACCAGTATATATATATTGGCGCCCAAGGCGCCTTTAAAAACTTTTAGGGTCAGTAAGCCAAAAATGGATATGTCAAAATACAATAAAGGGGGTACCCTTTGGGTCGGCAGGGGGTCGAATCCTTCAGGGGCGGGGCGCCCCCCCCCCTAAATCCGCTACTGCTTTCGATATTCAGAGTACGATATGCATATCTGACAACAGTTATTATCAAAAAAATAACCGACAAGCAAAAATATCAAGGATAGTCGGTGATTGTGCAAGTAGCACATAATGTTCCGACCATAACCTTGAAAAAGTACATGAAACGTTTTTTCCAGACTTTTTTCAAATTAGTTTTGTTTTCAGCAAGTCGTCTGAAGGATCTGACGAAAACCGAAAATTTGTGCATGAGTAATATAAGCAAGTCGGTTTATTTGCAAAATTCATTTTCTTTAATTGATATTAACTTTGAACCAAAAACATCAGTCATCTAATAAAAAAATAATCCTATTAATTTCAAATTACTTCATTATTGAAAAATTTTCTGGATTTCTGAAATGTTTTTATCTATCTGTCTGTATATTAGTTCAAGCCTGGTGTTACAGATATTGACCAGTTCGTAATTTTCCGATACTAATCGTAAACATATGCGACACAGCCAGTTTCGAGGAGTGACATGATCATGAGGGGCAAACCACAGCTGTAGTTGTCGAAGATAATGAACCAGTAGATTCCCGACTGACAACACATGAATCAACTGAGAATACAAACTGCAAATTTTGAAAATCTTAGATCAAATATATTTCCATTAAAATATTAATTCTAATAGTAATTATTTAATTGAAAGTAACATGATTATAATAAAGGAGGTTTTTTATACAAAAGGCTTCAAAAAGTTTCACCGCTGAAGCCAAATTTTAGTCAAACATTCATATACTCTCGGCAGTTTTCTAAAGGTTGAAAAGTTTTGTATTTCTATTTTATGAAGGCATTTTGATTTTTCCAGCTACTCTGTAGCACAATAATATTTTTGAAAGATCAGACCTACCTTGTCTTTTTGGCGCGCGCTGCCTTCTCAAAATTAGTGTATATGAGCAGCAAAGGCGTCTTTCGAAAAACTTAAGACAACCAAATGATATAGCAGAAAAGTTCCAAATCTTTTTGAAAAATTGGGTATCTAAAATTGAGGAAGAGATAATTTAATCTGTTTATAAATGAAAACATTTTATAAAGCAATGTTAACCTGTGTGACCATAGGAAGTGCTATTATGAACATGGCTAGACTGATTCCTGCCACCACCAGTAGTCTGTATGCTCTGCTGCGGGGAAAGTAGTCGAATACTGCCGTTGTCACACCCTCCATCTGGGCAAACTGAAAACACGAGAGCTCTTTCAACTTCAAGGTTAGGTTGTTGTTGATTTGATGAGATCTCATCATGAAGATGGGACTTTCTTAGAGACATTTGTCACACATATTAACCTCTTATAATAAAACAAATTCTTTTTTTTTCAATAATTTCAACAACTTTGCCCCAAGCTTGATTTAAAAAATCTTTATTTAATGGGAGATTTGTATTACAGCAAAACTCTCCAACTTGTTGCAAGCTTTGTTTTTGAAGAAACGGCTCAGTTTAAAGTTTATAGTACTTACTTTTTGCGAATCTCAGTGGATCGTTCAAAATATGTGTACCTTTTTTTACCAAATTTTCACTGTTTTCACCAAATTTTCTGCACCGCAGGCGAAGTTTTCCAAAAAAAATTTCAGGCATGTTTGAAAAATGTTGACCAAAAAAGGAATTTCAGTTTGAAGCCATGTGCAAGGAATGTTCTAAAAAAATGAATGGATTAATTAATAAGATATGATTAGATATGGTTCTATTTAGGCGTTTGAGCGTGCCTTACATTTCTGTTTTTTTTTTCAGTGCAGAAATTGTGAAAGAAAAACTAGAGAAATTTACATCCTCCATTTCCGTAGCACTTGTACGGGAACCTCCGAACCTCCGCAAATTACCCAAACCGACACAATATCCAATGAGAGAGAAGACAAAGTCAAGCTGATGTTGCCACTTGTCCCTCTTCTTCACACCACTCCCTTCCCCATTCACGATAAAAAGGTCACCAGACGTCATATTTGATTGAATCTTCAAAATTGACTTTTTCTTGTGCCAGATAGCTCAACTTTTTAAACGTTAAACCTAGAACAGCACTGGTTTACAAAAAAATGTGTACCGCCGGTAAAGCTTTGAGAAAGAGTGAAAAAAATTCGTTTAACTCATCAGATTTAGGGTGAAAGCATAATTATTTGCCAGTTTCAGTATTAAAAACTGATCCATTTTGCCTCCTTCGAGAGATAAAATGAGCTGAAAGGGAGTGATTTAACTGAAGTTTAACAAAAACAGAGAAATATCAGAGTCAGTGTATAACTAAAAACACAGTAAAACAATAGATACAGAAATTGTGACGATTTGTATAGTTAAAATCTATCGAGGGATCTGCTATATGTGAGATTAAAGTCTTTCTTAAACTATCAAAGTGACAAAAATCTAAATACAGTCAGAACTCTATAATTGACAGAGGGTTACTGAATGCTTAAACTTATGAGATCCGACAAAACAGTTAGTTACTTCTACCCGGGGCGAGGTGCTTGATTAATACTTCGACTCTGACACGCAAATTTGGACAGGCAGTTTTTTGAGAGATAAGAAGCTGCCGTTTTGCGACTTCAAAAATTGCGGTCAAGAATTTTGGTTGCAAACGTAGGTCCCCGCATTTAGGCAAAATGAAAAAAAAAACTATTATAATGGATTTTCGTGGTCTTACATATTGTCAATGTAATCGATTCCCATATTACGCTCAGACAACAAAATTGGACTAAAAACGGATTTAATTCAATTTTTCTCCGCAAAACCATTATTCACTATAATTCATTTGAAGTCAATTATAATAGAATATGTGATAAGTAGAAAATCACATAAAATGGATTTTTTCCATTTTATTTTTGTTTCGCATCGTGTAAAATACTGCAAGATTTTCTGCATTTTTTAAATGGGTAATGCGAAAAGTTTGTAAAGCGAGTGTACTGTCAATTTCAATTTCATTTCTAAACCTGAATTTTTTCAAATTGTAAAACATTTCCGTTGACCTCTACACCCCCCCCCCCCCCCAACGTTTGCCACTTTGCCACCTTGCAACCTCGCCTGACTACTTGAACCATTCCCCCTGAACCACATCCGCACCTTTACCACCCCTACACCTGAAGTAGCAACCCCCACTTTAAGCAATTCCCTCTTACTTGAATCAACCTCCT